CTCATCGATCTGAAAAGCGAGGTGTGCTCTGATTGGCCAGCTATCCAGTGCGTTGTGATTGGCCGAATACCTCAAGCGTGTGACGGAAATGTTACGCCCCTTACCATACTGTGATGCCATGTGTGCGACGAGCGCCTGTGCGCCGGTGATGTGCGACGAGACAAAACCAGTAAAACCCATTATAAACAAGGCATTTGTTGCATCCAGTGGGGACATAATTACTGATTATAATGACTTATACTGTCTTTTTACGCGTTACCCTTATTCCTCGTCTGGTATCGTGTAGAGCCCTTTGAAGCTGCACTGAAACTGTAATTTTGACCTTCAACCGTTTCAACCGTTTCTTGACCTTCAAACCTTAATTTCTTTTCGACTGAAGAAAGAAAGACGTAAACATCTTGGATGACATGGGGGTGAGTAAATTATCAGGAAATTTTAATTTGAAAGTGAACTAATCCTTTAAGCTTTTTAAATATGTTTACAATATTGTTATTGCCCACTCTGGGGTCTGGTCAGGATTGAGCTTGCCAATGTATCTTCTACCAAGTATGGGAGTTTGATCTTGTTTCACATCAGATTGAAGTCTTTTTTCATGGGTTAAAGTCTTTTTTACAGCCTATTTTACTTTGATTGGCAGATCTGTCTGTGTCGGCCTGCCTCTTTGATCGAGGTCGGTGACTGTGCTCAGGTACTCTGGCAATTTAAATTATCTGATTTAGATACTGATAACTATCTAGTGTACTTTGGCCGTACAGTTACTGACTGTCCTGTTGTCTCTGCTGGTAACTCATGTTATTAAAAGTGTTCCATTCTCCAATTTTTGCACTTCACACATCACTAAACAACACTATGGTACTACTGTTTCTACAGAGGTTGCTGCCAATGAATGTGAGTATTCTCTCCAATGATTAGTGAAACACCACCGGTCATGCCATTTCAACATGGCAAAATACACTGAGGGAGGTAACTAAAACGCATAAAAGAAAACTATTATGAGTACAGTTTTCATCTCACGTGAGTGTACAAATGTTAGAATATAATTTGTTGTCCAATCATGGTTCCCTTCCAAGGGAATTTCGAACTGCATCCTCTAGATGTCGCTTTGGGGAATGCCTTCAGCGTGACTGGTGTCTGAAGCATACATCTAAACACAACAATAACATTGGCCGGTGACAGCCTGTGATGTCATCACCTGGCGCGACCACAATATAAAAGGGCGCCGGGAGAACACGTCATCCTCTTCTTCGTCTTCAAGGACTGTTTTGTTTGAAGCATGCATTTCCGGTAAGAATGATTATTCTTCTTTACCATGCCGTGGGGATCGCAGATGGACCTGGCTGATTAGTTGAAAAAGTGTCTTTCCCTTTCGCGCTCATCAGTCACGGACGAGAGTGAGCTACTGGACGACGATGCTATCTCTCTTACATTGTCTGATCCAGCGGCTAGTGCTCTGCTGGCTCAAAGCCAGGATGAGCAGGAGATGTCAGATGAGGACAAAGAAGAATATTTCATTTTCTACCTATTTATACTTTGCATTTTCGTTGGAGTTTGTATTTTTGATTGCACTTACTGGTAATTCTAATAATTGCCCTCGGCTTAGAAGGAGCCTGTGTTATTTGCATTGCTCCCTTCCTGCGCTTAAGTACGAACTGTAGTTTCGATTGGAGGATTTGCCCTGCTATAGGCTACTGACTGTGCTAATTAGAAGACGGCCACAGTGGTTTTCACTTTACTGTGTATTTATTTGATGCTTGTGCGCTGGAAGCGTTCAGCCCTTCTCGTGTGAAGACCAACGAGGGTAAAGACCTGCGACTTTACCTGCACGACTTCACCGAGCTACGAACTCGCCATCACACTGCGAGGCTTGACTTGCGATGGAAACGGGCCAAGAAAGTGACGCTTCGAGGCCGCTTCGACAAGCGTTTTCTTTCTAGCCATAGCCCTCCAGCTCAGGTGAGCCTTCCATGTCTTCACGATCTCCATGTGGATATCAAGAAGGCTTGGAAAAATCCATTCTCGTCCCGCATCCATAGATTCCAGCATACTAGTTATGCCAACATTGAGGGGATGCGTGAGAATGGTTATGACAAGATGCCCCCTGCTGAAGAGACGCTGGCCTGCTATCTCTCTATGGGGGAGACATCTTCCCTTAAGTCTCCCTCCCTTCTGTCCAAACCCCTTCAGGATACATCTCGTTTGAATGGCAGGGCATACGCGGCAGCAGGTCAGGCTGCAGCCTCGTTGCATACCATGGCGGTGTTTCAGGCTTATCAGGCTGATCTGCTGAAAGACCTGGCTTGGGTTTGACTGAGACCTGGATTCGTCCAGAAGGCTCAGCAACCCCAGCTGCTCTAGCTAACAATTTCTCTTTCTCTCACACCCCCCGTCAGGTTGGCCAGGGTGGGGGCACTGGTCTGCTCATTTCTAACAATTGGAAATACTCAACCCACTCTCCCCTATGCAATTATACCTAATTTGAATATCATGCAATTACTGTAACAGCTCCTATAAAACTCAAGGTTGTGGCAATCTACCGCCCTCCTGGCCAAATTCTAGCCACCTTCCTAGAGGAGCTGGATGGGCTGCTGTCCTCATTCCCGGAGGATGGCAGTCCACTTTTATTCTTTGGCGACTTCAACATTCATCTGGACAAGCCTTATGCTACAGACTTCCATTCACTCCTTGCTTCATTTGATCTCAAACGACTTACCACTACAAGCACGCACAAATCAGGCAACCAACTTGACTTAATTGGAAGAGTTAAAGTTGTGGTGCTTAGGTCTTACCTAATTTGCCTTTAAATATTTTTTTATTACAAATTAACTATATAGCAGCGTGGCCGTCAAAATTATTCTCCCTTCGAAGTGCCCTCTGAAAGCATTAAGCATGCCGATTGGAACGCAGCCTTCGTTTTGTTTGCGCGAAGAAAAGGTGAGTTTGTCAAGTGAGTATCTTTGTTAAAACATTCATAAAGACAAATTTCTCATATAACAATATTGGTAAAACTGTATGTTAAAGGTATTCACTTATATTAAGTGTTAACACTCAAATCACAGTATTTTTATAGTGTCTACAAACTACGTTACATTGGCCAATCAAGACCGGTGAGTGGTGCAGGTGTCACTCATTATCAATTACTCCACCGCCTCGCTCCGTTCCCACGGCTCTCGGCCCCGCCCCCACTCGTCACAAAGACATTGATGCTTGCATATAGAACAGCCACAGGCTCAGCACCAGCCTACTTCCACTCACTACTACGAATCTACATCCCCTCCAGAAGTCTGAGATCCACATTTGAACAATGCCTAAAACGTGGTATTTCAAGCATGTCCTGTGTCTGTTTGCCTCTTTAAGAAGAATCCCTTTATGTATTCCCCAATTGTAAGTCGCTTTGGATAAAAGCGTCGGCAAAATGACTAAATGTAAATGTAAATGTAATTCCCCTAAAAAGCTTCCCTCCTGACTGAGGTTACGTAGGAGTCCCCTGCGCTTGCATTTGCAGTCTTTTATGCTGGGCCTATGATGTTTTGGCTAGTTTCTATGTCCCATAGAACTAGTTACTGATGGTCCGGACCAAAGCCTTCCAGAATCAGGTCCTCAGTATAACTCTGCAACCTCAGAACCTGTGGGTCCTTCTTGCAGGCTAGTACTCTTCTGAGTACATGCTTCGTGACATGCTCCCTATCCTCTGGCCAGGGTGCGCTACTCATCTCTCACCCTGAGGGGTCTCCTGAGATTTGAGTCTTTCCTTAACCATCATGCACGTTCTCTGAGCTAGAGCTCCTCTCGCTGAGGCGTTGAGGAACTCAACACTCCATCCTCCCTGTCACACTGCCCTTATGGTTTAACCAGTAATCGCAGCTCTGCGGAGTGGGCTTGAGTACACTGCGTTCCCTGAGGTACGAGGGATTTGTGTTTCTGCGGAAACCCCTCTTGTATGCTTCTGCTCTGAGGAGCAGTAAGCTCTGTACGCATGAATGGTTATTGGGTCCCACTATTTCATCAGATTCTATCGGGTCTGATTATATGGAACCCACGCTCTCTGTCGAGATAGAGTTGCACCAGTGGACTGTCTCTTATTGGGCCCTGCTGGGTTACCCCTTCTAATCTAGTGCATCCTTCTGGTCGAGCTGAGAAGTGCTCCCCTCACTGTGAGGGTTAGCTATGAGTCGCTCCCAGTATGTGCTGTAAGGGCTCGCCTCAGCTTGAGCTTATTTTTGAAGTTGGGACTCCACTCTTTTGAGCTCCGGATAGCAATGATGCCAGGCGGCAGGGCCATCTCATGCCTCCCTGGCGGGTTGCTTGTTAAGTGAGCTAGCTGTGCTCCCCTCACCATGAAGGCCCTCTTGCAAGCGCGCCGCTCCTTTCTGGGCATCTGTGAGCAGATGCTTCGGAGTCTGTTCTGTGAGCGTGCCACAGTCACGTAAGGCTCCTAGGCTGGTTTAATACAGCTTCGGTTACCCCTTAAGCAACGGCGTTTCTAAATCCATGCTATGGTATGTGCACACGCTAAGCTTCTGTGCACTTTCTAAAATCCACATTGTGGTAAGTGTGCACGCTAAGCATTCTGCGCACTTTCTAAAATCCTGTATGGTAAGGGTTACGCGCTGTCAGCCTCGTTCCCTTTCTCTGAGTTGGTTTAGGCCCTGGTTCTCGCCTTGGGCTCCACTCAACTTATGTATCTCTGTTGATACATTTCTGAGCAGGGTAAAACCATGCTATGTAAGTTCTTTTAGGGTATGCAGCTCAGGCCCTTGGCCGAAGGGGATAATGTCACTGACAGCCGTCAAGACGTCCTTGGGGCAACTCCCATGGCTATGGTAGAGATGGTACTTAGTGCTCGCCGTGGTTTCTGACATGCACTCCCCTCAGCATGGTGGTGTGGGTATACCGTTCCCCAAAGCGACCTCTAGAGGACGCAGTTCGAAGTTCCCTCGGAAGGGAATGTCTCAGGTTACGCATGTAACCATGGTTCCCTGAGAAGGGAATGAGACACTGCGTCCTCTAGTTCACTTGTTATGCTTCAGGCGTAAGCTTCAGACGAAGAAGCGGATGACGTGTTCTCCGTGTTCTTTTATACTGTGGTCGCGCCGGGTGATGACGTCACAGGCTGTCGCCGACCAATGTTATTGTCGTGTTTAGATGTATGATTCAGACACCGGTCACGCTGAAGGCATTCCCCAAAGCGACCTCTAGAGGACGCAGTGTCTTGTTCCCTTCTCAGGGAACCATGGTTACATACGTAACCTGAGACATTTTGTTACATCGTCTACTACAGGATAAGGACCTGGGGTATATGTTTAATAGCAATCTTTTGATGATGAATGGTGGATCACCTTAAATTTCACCTTAAAAGTGATTACATTACCCAGCTGTGGCCATATGCTGTTTTTAATGCTGAAAATTATTCATGCATTTATGACCTTAACACTAGATTTTTCTAATGCTTTATTGAGTGGATGCCCTGCAGGCTCTATAAATAAGCTCCAGCTGGTTCAAAATGTAGCAGGTAAAGTGCTTACTAGAGCCAAGATATATGATTATTCAAATCCGTTAAAGGATTTTTAGGCTGCATTAATTAGGTCTTGATTACCTCAGCCCCATTTTATTGTCTCTACACTGGCTACCTGTCACTCCTACATTGTCACTAAACCTATGGCTACCTCATCTATAAATCATAAATTTTACAGTCCAAATATAATTTAGTAACATATGTAGCTAAGTTTGACATTATGCTCACTGGGGGACTAAAGAAGTATTTAGAGAAAACAGCCTTTTATAATTTTACATTTTAAATGTTCCTCTTATTCAGTTTTTTTGTTATGTGATATAATTTAATTTTTAATATTTCTAATTAAGATGAAGGATTATTTTTTTGTTAAATCATAGATGGCCCACTTTACCAGATCAGATGGCCCACTTTATGCGAAAAGACATTTGTCTGGAGTGCATGATCTCAAAATGGTCACTGGTTACTTCCAACTAGCATAAGAACTTAATTCATATAACAAAAAAATGGCTTTTGAAAATATCTAAATTACAAGTTTAACAAGAAGTGTCCCACTTTACCTAAATGATATGACCAAAATCTTGTACCAGGAGATGGAGACCAGGAGTGAAAAAGTGAAAGTTACAAAGTCAAAGTGAAAGATGGGTAATTTTCTATTATAATAATACTGTACACAATATAGTTATCCAGTCTGTAAAGCTGCTTTGAAACAATCTGTATTGTGAAAAATGTTATACAAATAAACCTTACTTGACATTGCTAAAATGGAAAAGGCCTAAAAGTAATTCTAAATCTATGTAATAGCGCAGAGCGCAGACACTACAGCAAATTTCAGTACAGTGCTTTGCTCAGTCACATCAATGATATACTGTAGATGAAGTAGGGCAGTGGTTCCCAATTCTAGTCGACCCCCCCACCTACCCCCAGGCACTACACATTTTCTATGTCCCTCTCATCTAACACACCTGATTTAGATCATCAGCTTACTAGAAGAGAGTTCTTATTTGTGTCAGAAAAAATGTGCAGAGCAGTGGGGCAATTTTGAGAATTGAGAGCCACCAATGTAAGGGAACTCAGTTCTTGGAAATCACTCACAATCTACACCAGATTTTTTTGGGGCCCCTGTATTAAATTGGCTGCTGCTTGCAGTACAAGTAATGTACGATAACAGCCCTAGAGTATTATTACCATTCTTCTTGTAGAACTGCACCTCAGCCTGGTACTCTTCTTTGCTCTCCAGTGCTTTCTCCACACCCTGAGTAACCTGCTCACTAGTGCCCGAGCCATATAGGAAATGACAGCTGCAGTTCTTCTGCATCACCTCTGTTCGTCCGAACCCCGTCAACTCACAGAATCCATCGGAACAGTACACAATGGGATAGCCACGGTGACCCTGAGCATTCCCAAGGAGGAAGTTGCTGTCTGTGGGACAGAAAAGAGATCAGGATTATTAATGTTGTGAAGGACATTCTAAAGCTAGTTATGAATATTCTGTTTTTTTTAAGTATTACGCCTCTATCTATCTATCTGTCCGTCCGTCTGTCTGTCTATCTAAATCAATCTGATATAATTGCATCATCATTCACATGGCTCAGCTTGTCGAATACTTGGCTAAAGCTTGCTGTAGCAGTTGCAGCGCGCTTCAAAAACTCTGCACCTTCCCCAGCTTCACGTGTATAGATCTGCTATAGGTTAATTTCATGTATGTTATATAGGGGGGTTATTTCATATATGTTATACACAGTCACCTCTGCCTTGCTCACTGGGGGACAAAAGAACTAAAGAATTATGGAATAACCTCCTAACAGCTTCCTGACAGGAATACTTGATATGAAAATATGTGATAAATTGGGTGAATTCAGGTAAAATAGCCGATTAGGTAAAGTAGGACTGTATAAGCTTGATTGTACTGTACTCAATGGGTTTTCATTTTCAGAGCATAACAATGGTCTTCAATTAAAGGGGCACTGTTGTTGTTGTTGTTTTTAATAAAATGTTTTTTTCAAAGGTATGTGAAATATTTAAAATTTGCGGCATATAATCTTTAAAATATGTCCAAGAGTTTTACACACCAGTCTGTTATTGTGGGGATATTTTCACGCCAGACATAGAATAATCAAATACACTGAAGAATATTCAGTGGAGTAAAATCATGTGACAAATAGCCCTGATCTACATTTTATTGTTTTATAAAATTGAAGTTTATAAACAATAAAAGTAAAATGATCAGCATTTATCGGTAATCAATCATAGTAAAGGGTTTGTGTGTGTGTGTGCAGAATAGATATTTCAAAGTTCTTTCAGTAAGTCTTCGGTATACCAAAAGCTCAGTTTCACCCGCTATCATCACTGAGACTACTGCACAGGAAAGCTGGTCTCTACGGCAACAAGAGGGCAGCTATTTTGGGCCTTGAGTACACTGGTGCCTTGTTACCCAGAAGCGTCCAGCATTGCGAGGAAAGATCCTTTGTCTCAAGAGGGTAAGTTAACATTACTGACAAATCACCTGTCTCTAAAGTGTTCATCATAGTTTAAGATGAAATCAAGACGCATTAAGACAGCATTAACATTACTTTCCTCATAATGTCAAATGAAAACAGAATGTTAATTTAAATTCAAGCTTCAGTTTGAAAAACATGACAATAAGTAAAACGAAGAAAAAAAAGGGGGGGGGGGACGCAAGCAAATAAAATGCCTTCTTCCTTTGGCTGAGAGTGAATGGCAGCCCATAGAACTGTGTGGTAAAAAGTTTGAAATTTGGCACACTCATAAGAACAGTCTGAACAGTCCTGATAGCCACTTTTAAAACCCCTATCTTCTGTCTTAAACCCTCCAGTGACACCAACAAGACAAAGCTTCATTTTTTACTAGCACTTTAATGTCATCACACACATAAAACCTCAGGGAACGCTAGAGCAACCATGGTTATCATCATGGCGATTATGCCCTGAGGTTGTGTGAGCAATTTCGTAATAGCACAATTTAAAATATGTAATTTTTTTTTTTAATGCTCATAATTGTATTTTATAAATGTTTAATTTTATAATTTTGACTTTAGGTAATAGATTACAATAATATCTTGTAAGATAGCATATTGTTAAATAAGAAGCTGTGAGTGTGCATGAACATGCTGTTGTGCATTTGTGCGAGAGAGATGTTATCTAACACAAGAGATTAAGTTTGTAAGCAGTGTGAAGGATTTTCTTCATTACTAGTAAGAAAGCACAGATGGGAGGATTGTATTCTATTTTTTATCTTTAGATATGTGTTGTACAGCTGCCTTTGTTCTGTATAAATACTGTTAAGAAAGTATATTATCACATTTCCTATCGTGTTGCATTGTGTCAAACTATGTTTTGCTTAATGATTATATTTTAGCATTTTGTGTTGTGATGCTAATGTCATTAGACATAGAAATTTCAATGGATTATAGTAAAATCTACAGTTATTGGTTTTATTATTATGAATGAGAATTATAACCTGTTAACCAGCCTTTTAACTAGTAGTTTGAGAGAGTTCTTGTAAATTCAAGGTAAAAGGATTGCATGAACACAAACAGCTTTGTCCCTTGACAATCACTTTTCCCATGACACACACACACACACACTTATCTCAAAGATATAATGCCACGAGAGCTATGCAAAACAAATTTATCTCCCATGATAAAACAGGAACAAACACACAAAGTGTATGTGGTGCCTACATGTATTAACCTGCAGGACAGATACAGTACATATACAGTATACATTTACAATAATCAGTATAATGTATAATAGTAGTACAGAAATACAGTACATATATAGATATTTGTGTCGGACCATTGTTGAATCATTTATGACACAACTATTTATTATTAGGCAATGATTTTCACTTTGAAGCTTACGGTTTGCCTTCATTTTGCTGTTAAATAAACAGTAAAATCACTAATTGATCCACTCATCCCTACTACATTTTTAGTCTAAAAATGAAACCTATATCTGTTTTAAAAAAGTTTGTAGTTTTAACAGAAAATGCTACATTAAAAAAAACTGCTTTCTAGTTACCATAGCAAATATGGTGGGGAAAAAAACAGTTTGGTTAGTTCATGCAAACCCCTGGGACAGAATCCATGACCTTGGCATTGCTAGCATTATGCTGTTTGAGCTATAGGAACGCAGAGAATTATTTAAGACTGGAAATTATTTATGAAAGGCCAGATATATACAAGTATATACTGTAAATGCAGATGCAAAGTCTCATCGTACATACTTAATGTGTGCTTTTGTGCTACTGTGATAGTATCAAACCTCATTTAACCATGTGTGTTGTTATTCAGGTAGCTTCTATCCATGGCAATAGTTTAACTGGCTTGTTTAGCAAGACTATATGATAGAACAAAAAAAGTTTGTTAAAGATAGTTGTCAATGAATCTGTTTGAAATAAGCCATTTTTGCATATTCATTTGGTGCTGGTGATGATATAGGCATGAAAATCCTTCACCTTCAGGGTACCTTGAAAACTGTACATTTTCATCTTGAGCACTCTCTCTCTCTCTTGTCGGTTTGGTGTGTGTGCTTTTGTGCCAGTACTTACGAGTGCCATCAAAACGAGTGGCAATGGTGTCCAGGAAGGTGTTCTGGGGTGCCAGCAGCCCCTTCATCACTGGCATGATGCCAGGTTTCGTCTTCAGTGATGAAAAATTTCAGTGCACTATTTTTCATCACTATACTGTACATTTTCACTCATGCTCAGCTCATATTATAAATCATCTTTATAATCTTATTGAATTGGAGTAAAACAACAAGACAGGTTGGAGCAGTTTTAATCCATTTCAATGCAAAAAAAAAAAAAGGATCTCATTCCTACATTTTCGTACGATCTGCTTTCGCACCACTGGTGGCTGGGTGTGGATTTTTTCCCTCTTTCTATAAAATTTTTTTTCTGTATGATTTCATATGAAATCGTAGAATAGGCTCATCCCCCCCCCAAAAAAATGCTAGTCTTAAATAGCCTAGACTCTTATCCAAAAAAACAAAATAAAATAAAAAATCTTCTGTAGGGCACCTTTATTCATGTCATAAAATCATTTTTAGTTCTATTTGGAAAATGTTTACTAATATAAATTAATTATTTACCCAATTATTTTTTAGACAGAAAACGTTGTGGGACAGGAAGGGTTGAGAAACACTGCAATAAAGCTCTTTAAATTTGGAATGGATTTTACGCCCTCTTGTGGAGTTTGAATAGGTTTATGTTCCACTGGAACATTACAACATCTCAATCCAGAGGCTTCCTAACAAACAGCCAATGAAGTAGATGATAAAATTGGCTGATATTATCACATTTCATAAGCACTCTCTGCTGCATTTTAAACCAGAAGGACTCCCAGTAGCACGTTATAGTAATCTAGTCTGGAGGATGACCACATTAATACGTTTTTCAGCATCAGAAGAGACAAGTGTCTTAGTAGCAAGGTAAAAAAAAAAAGGCTATTCTGCAAACACTGGATACTTGACTGGCAAAGCACAGATTGCTATCAAACATAACACCCAGCTGCTTAAATGTTGAAGACAGCATGCCAGTAATTCCATCCAAAAACATATTATATTCTATCGTCTCAGGTTTTTGATCCAATAACTAATGCCTTTGTTTTTTCTCAGAATATAAAAGTTAATTTCTATCCATCCAATCTTTGATATCACAAATACACTCTGCTAACTTGGCAAGTCTAGTCTGGGGGAAATATAAAGTACCATCTGGATAATAGTGAAAACTAATGTCATGGTTCCTGGTAATGCCTCCAAAGGAAAGCATATACAGTGCAAGGACAGAATTAAAGGACCTAATACTGAGCCCTGTAGCACTCCAAAAATTTTACTTTTTTTTTTGTCTGACACTTCATCATTAACAAAAACTTGAGATTGATACAGTAGATTGGACCTTTTTGCATCATGGCCTCAGTGGCAGCAGTTGTGTCTTACTGTAAAATGCAAGTTTCTTCCAAACATGTAACAGATTTGTCTGCCCTACTGAAAGTATATAACTAACTACATTCAGGGTAACACTTTAGAACAATTTAGACTGTTCCATCATTAATAAATAACTACAAAGAAACAAATGAGTAAAACAATATTTATATTCTATTAACTTCTATTACCTAACAAGAAAATCAAATTAACAAATTATTAACTAGCACTCAGTTGAATGCTATAGTTCACTATTAGATAATCAGTAACTATTTTTCCATACCTCCTAGAGAACTACATACAGTACCTCCTATATAAACTACATACAGTTTCATAATGTGAAACTAATCCATAAAAAGCATAAATTAAAATTTTAACCATTACTTTAACATTATTGTTGTTAACAACAATAATTTTACCACTTACATAATCAATAGGTAGTCTACTAAATCACGCCGCCAATAGAAGGAATTACTATCTTACATAAGCCGCAACTGAGGGCTATTACTTACTAATTCATCTGCAGCACATTAGCACAGAGATCTTACAGAGGGAACAAAGACTTCTAAAAGTTAACCATCTCAGTACCAACTGACCTCTTCAGATATTTCATGACATGATACATTACATCCTCTGATTGACCTGAAGATGATAACTAAGGAACACCTATCTGATTCTAACTAAAGAAGAGCAATTTTTTTCCTGCATGGTATGGTTAAGCAAGAAGTAACTGGTAAAATGTAAATACTCAGAAGATGACTTTGTATGGTCACTATTTCTAATTAATAATACAAATCATAATACAATCATAAAACATTGTTTTTGGTCACTGGTATTATCAATACTATTAACTTTAGTTTTATTACCAATATAAAAATAAAAATTCTGACCATGATGAATGTCTTTTTTTGGGTTAATTTAAACTGTTAACAGTAATACAGGCTACAGTTGTCACAGTAGAAAATGCACTTGCATGGCCTAACCTAAGTAACTGACATAATGGTTGTAATAATATCTATTAGTGTATTAGTCACTTTGGCACTAATATCAGAGCCTTCATGTATTTTTTCAAATCTATATTGTAATTTCATTGTATTTTATCAATACTGGAAATTTCAGAAATTGTTCAATGATCTTGTGTCTGCAGTATTCTCTCTACTAGTCCTTTTACAATGACTACGTTTACATGGACATCAGTAATATAATTATTTACCTTATTCTAAATTAGACAATATTATGATTCAGGTGTTTACATCAGTTGTTTTTAGAATATTCCTTTCATGTTCCTGTTTTACATGTTATAATTACATCGAAATTTTGGATCCGTGGCCAGGCAACTCTCCAGATCTCAATCCCATGGAGAACCTGTGGTCAGTCCTCAAAAGGCAAGTGGACAAGCAGAAGCCCACAAATTTTGATCAACTCCGAGAACTAATAAGGCAAGAATGGATCGCCATCAGTCAGGATTTGGTACGTTTACATGGACATCAGTAATATAATTATTTACCTTATTCTAAATTAGACAATATTATGATTCAGGTGTTTACATCAGTTGTTTTTAGAATATTCCTTTCATGTTCCTGTTTTACATGTTATAGTACAGTCATGGCCAAAAGTTTTGGCAGTGACATAAATTCTGTGTTTTGCAAAGTTTGCTGTTGTGGTGTTCATTCACATTGTTTCTAAATATAAAAGGAGGGAAGAAGTGCTTCCCATCATTGTGTTCTTGTTAACAATGGTTACCTCCAAAGAAACACATGCAGCCATCATCGCTTTGCATCAAAATGGCCTCACATGCAAGGAAATTGCTACAAAGAATATTGCACCTGAAAGAACCGTATACCGGTTCATCAAGAACTTCAAGGAGAGAGGTTCGACTGCAGTGAAGAAGTCTTCAGGACGTCCCAGAGTCAGAAACATGTGGAAAAATTATCTACAAATACTGAAGCAGAAAACTTTGCAAAACACAAAATTTATGCCACTGCCAAAACTTTTGGCCATGACTGTATCGATTATAATGGCACACGTCATTACGTCCCCACGCCACGCCATCCAACCCAGAATTTCACGTATAAACATAGTTCGTCTTCGTTATGATACCATATACAGTTTTGGGGGTTTCATTTTTAATTTTACGAAAGCTTCAAGTGCAGTTAATTATTTGTCATACTATACATGCAAACAGATGAAGGCGTTGTTGAAGCCATGCTCTTTTGTTTGCCGTCAAACGGTTGACCACTGCCGTGTGTGTATCCTGTCACAAAATGCGGCGAAAAGTCCTACACAGAGATAATAGTGTGATTAAGGTGTGTACATATCTATACTGCACTTTGATAATGCGACTAAAATAGGTACTCAATGAGTACGTTTACATGGACAACAATAATCCGATTTTAACATGATTAAGACAATACTCTGATTAAGCTTTCATAAAACTAAAAATGAAACACCCAAAACTGTATATGGCATCATCACGAAGACGAACTATATATTTATACGTGAAATTCCGGAGGGGATGTCGGATGGCGTTACGTGGCGACGTAATGACGCGTGCCATTAATCGAATCTATGTACTATAACTAGGGATGCAATGATTAACCGCGAGCCTGTTGAAAATCGATTCAAATATGTGACGATTCAAATCTGTTGAGATGCTAAACAAATCGCGATTCATTTAGGGGTAGGAGTTTATAGCTCCCTTCTGACTGTTTGGGACATCTGGAAAATCGATTGTTCGGAGAAGAAAAGGTGAACGCTACCATGAGTCCTGTGTTGTGCCAACAGTGAAGCATCCTGAGACCATCCATGTGTGGGGTTGCTTTTCAACCAAGGGAGTGGGCTCTCTCATAATTCTGCCCCAAAACACTGCCATGAATAAAGAATGGTATCAAAACTTCCTGCAAAGACCGACTTCTTCCAATGATCCATGAGCAATTTGGTGATGATCTGTGCATTTTTTCAGCATGATGGAGCACCATGTCACAAAGAAAGAGTGATAAAGAAGTGGCTCGAAGATAATTACATCGAAATTTTGGATCCGTGGCCAGGCAACTCTCCAGATCTCAATCCCATGGAGAACCTGTGGTCAGTCCTCAAAAGGCAAGTGGACAAGCAGAAGCCCACAAATTGTGATCAACTCCGAGAACCACACGGCTCCGGGGGGTGAACAAAGGCCTCCTGTAGCGAATCGATGCGTTTTTGTAAGAAAAATATCCATATTCAAAACGTAATAATCACTTGAATCTAGCTTGCGCTCACTGTTGTAAACCGAAGCAGTTCCGGGAGCATGACGTATGGGTTCAGCGTTGCGTCACGGTGCGTCTCGTGAAAACCAACGTTTGTTTACAGGATCAAAAGACAAAGTTTCCTTACTTTAGCAAACGAAAACCAGTCTCCTCTTAGCTTATATCGAAATCCTCCGACATTCTTATTTACAAATCCTCGTTTTGTACTTCTAATTAGTACCGTTGTTTTGTTTTGATCTCTCCCGTGCGCTTCCGCGTGTGTCACTTCCACAGGATACACACATGGCAGTGGTCAACCGTTTGACAGCAAATAAAAGAGCTTCAAGACCCGCCGTCATCTGTATGCACGTACATATCAACTGCACTTGAAGCTTTCATAAAATTAAAAACGAAACACCCAGGATTGTATATCGCACCATAACGAAGACGAACTATATGTTTATATGTGAAATTCTGGAGG